CAAATGTTTGTAATAAAACTCACTAAGTAAATCAAAACAAATAGTTTTAAAAATGTTTCTAAAATTTGGTCTGTATTCTTCAGCTGTTTAAACTTTAAACCATTGAACTATATTTTATACATCACAGTATTAAATTATTAATCAATTTATATATTTTTTTTTTACTCAAAATAAGAATATCCTCACAGCTTAGTCAATCAGAAAGTGATATTTTCTGTCAGTTAAGCTGAAAATGTTATTTTAACCTCTTATGGCAAAAATGAAAATGGCGCGGCGGTTTTTCTTAGGTCAAACACGAAAACTTAATATGCATGAACCTTCTTATCAATTAATTTAATTTCAGCGGAATATATTTTTCATGTATGTACAAATATATAGGGTGTCCCGGAAATGGTGGGCAATCTCTCGAATATGGATAGATAATGAGAAAATAATGTCACAAGTTCATATACAATTTTTTCCTCCAGGCTCACCCTGTAGAGTTATTAGCTCTTGAAGTTGAGAATTAAAAATGGTTTTTTTGCTGTAACTTTTATATTTTTCAATAAATTTTGAAAATTTTTTGGCTGGATCTATAATTTTTGAAGCTGCTTTGGATGATAATATGAAATTCTCGATAATAATTATGGGGGCCCGGTGGCAAAGCACCCCTCACCAAAATTTCTAAAAAAAAAAATTTTGGTTCCACTATACCCCAAATTTTCCATCATTTTATAAAAATTTATGGTATTTTACGTAAAAAAGGTATACTTGTTGAATATCCATAAAATAGATATTTTTTGAGATAAACTTTTTTAAAGAGGAAGGTACCATTTAATTTGAGACATTTTATTTAACAGAAACACAGGTTTAATCGTAGTTGGCTTTTACATATCAGAATAAAGGACAAATAATTTGCAATAGCAATGTTCCAAATTATGAGAATTTGGACTTAACTAAACTAACTAAACGAAAAGTGCATGACAATCAAAATTTTGTAACTAATATAATTCATAATAAATTCTCAATATTAGTTCCACCTTCTCTTATACAAATACAAGCTCGTTTAACAGAACTCTCCATAACATTTCAGGATTTTGTCGTATTTAATTTGCACAATAAAAAATCCTTTCTTCTAATTCTTCTCTAGTGGTTACAGGTGTGGAATAAACAAGATTTTTCAAGTGCCCCCAAAAGAAAAAGTCAAGTGGGTTCATATCTGGAGTTCGGGCAGGCCAATGAATAGGTCCACCGCGACCTATCCAGCGATTAGGATATACCTCGTTTAAATGGTCCCTTACTGCAGCACTAAAGTGAGGCGGCGCCCCATCGTGCATGAATATCAGTGCATTTCTGGTTTCAAGATCAACATCTTCTAACAGTTGTGGTAATTGATGCACAAGGAAATCTAGGTAACGTTGACCATTCAGTCTAGGGGGTAACACAAATGGACCCAATAAGTAAGGACCAATAATTCCACTCCAAACATTAACATAAAATTGTCTTTGGTGCCTAGTTTCAATAATAGCGTGTGGGTTCTCATCAGACCAATAATGTAAATTATGGGAGTTAATAACTCCATTCCTCCCAAAACTTGCTTCGTCAGTATACAGAATTAATCTCGTAAACATAGGATTTTGCTCATGTCTCTGAAGAAACCATTGAGAAAACTGTACTCTTGCACGAAAATCATCAGGATTAAGAGCATGCACTTTTTGGATATGGTAAGGGTGAAGAAGCTGTTCTCTAAGGATTCTTGCAACAGTGGTCTTTGGAACATTGGTAAAAGAAGATAATGACCTAATGCTAACTGTTGGATGAGCAGCAACTTCGTCCAGTATATTTTCCTCTACTTCAACTGTACGTGCTGTTCGCGGGGCACCCCTGTTTGCAGTAACAGGAGCAAACTGACCTAAAGACATTAAAATTTATTTAATATCCATTTTGTTTAATAATAGTAATCGTATTTTACCAGTTTCTCTTAATCTTTGATCAATACGTTCGAAAGTTTTGCGTTCCGGAATCCTTTCTATTAGGATAAGAATGCTGATAAAATCTTCTTGCTGCCGAAGCATTACAAAGAGCCCACCCGCACATTAAATGCATATCAGCATATTCTTCATTGGAATACTCCATATTTTATAACAAATTATGAGTTATGAGATGAGTCTTAGATTTAAAAGTACGTATTTGACAAGTTTGACAATTTAATTGCCTTTGGCATACTCTGACATGTCAAAGCCAACCACGATTAAATCTGTATCAATTAAATAAAATGTCTCAAATTAAATGGTACCTTCCTCTTTAAACGGGTTTATCTCAAAAAATATCTATTTTATGGATATTCAACAAGTATACCTTTTTTATGTAAAATACCATAAATTTTTATAAAATGATGGAAAATTTGGGGTATAGTGGAACAAAAATTTTTTTTCTAGAAATTTTGGTGGGGGGTGCTTTGCCCCCGGGCCCCCATAATTATTATCGAGGATTTCATATTATCATCTAAAACAGCTTCAAATATTATAGATCCAGCCAAATAATTTTCAAAATTTATTGAAAAATACAAAAGTTACAGCAAAAAAAACATTTTTAATTCTCAACTTCAAGAACTAATAACTCTACAGGGTGAGCCCGGAGGAAAAAATTTTATATGAACTTGTTATATTATTTTCTCATTATCTATCCATATCCGAGAGATTGCCCACCATTTCCGGGACACCTTGTATAAAAAAATGAAATGAAACAATATTTTATTTGACAAATATCACCTTTTCTGTAACAGCAGCATTTTTAATAGAATGCATGTCTTGTCATGTGCAAAAAAAATTATATTTTATTATATCATCATTGTAGTTCATTTTGAGTTAAATTGAACAGAAAACATAAAAACATTTATATGAGTAGAAAAAATTTGCATGTCTTACTAACCGACAACACGGGTTTATGATACACTTTTTTGGCCATTGCTATTAGAGCTGCGCTACAAACGCTCTAATAGAATATATGAAAATATAGGGGGTATTCTATTACTCCTTCAGAGTTAACATTAATTTTTACAGTGTTATGTACCAAAATTTTAAATTAACAAAGAAAATATGTGACTTTTCTAACAAAAATTATTACATGGTTCTGAACTAGTAGAAAAGTCAGTTACGACATGTTTTGTTTTAAAATTAGTGATGTAAAATAGCATGCTATTTAGTTTTGGGTGATATATATCAAAATATATATCATTATTTTATTTTTTTTTAGATAGATTTAGATTGGAATTTTTTTATTTTTTTTTATCATATTTACATTAAGACACTTTATAGTAAAAGTAATAATCTATTTGAAATAGGTTGTTGTTTTAATTAATAAATTCATTATAATTATGATGGTAATGACTTCTAATTTTTGTTGCATACTTAATATGATACAATGCCTGTTTATAAGCAAGTACGCTGTTTATTAGTAATTTAGTTTTATCAACCCACAAATAAAAAATTGGAAATTTCTAGAACAAGAAAATTTAGTCTGTATATCACAATAGGTACTTAAAAAAAAATTAAAGATAAAAATTGAAATAAAAATTATCAAAAACTTATGATAATAAAGAAACTGCTTTAAAGTAGCACTTAAGAATCTGAAATTTTAGGGGTGTACTATATAGATGGGGAGACCTAAAAAGGCACGTAATTTCAACTCACCCCTTCCACACTAGGGAGTGGAGTGGAGGGTTTTTTGTTTAGACGTACCCTATTTATTTTGCGATTTTCGGATTCTACGCGTAAAACTACCCCCAGAAATGCGTTCTTGCGGGTACGTTTAAAAGACCACCTCTCACCCCCTCTGCACCTGCTAGTAGGGTGGAAAGGGTGAGTTGAAATCACGTTCGCTCTTAGGTCTCCCCACTTATAGTACACCCCTAAAATTTTAGATTTCTATATTTATTTTTGACAGAGATGTGCCCAAGAAAAACGCCCATCGAAAAAACGACAAAGTCCATACGAGGGTGGTGGTTTGGTTTTTGTGCGAATTCGGCAAGAACGCGCTTTCGTAAGTAGTTTTACGCGTAGAATCCGAAACTCGCAAAATGAATAGGGTACATCTAAAAAAACCACCCCTCACCCCCTCCTCACCCCCTAGGGTGGAAGTGGTGACTTGAAATTACGTGCTCTTAGTTCTTCCCATCTATAGTACACCCCTAAAATTTCAGATTTTTATATTCATTTTATTTGACGGAGATATGCCAGGCTACTACAGTCCAACCCAAGCCTACCACACCACAAGTTTTTAATTGAAAAACTTCTGAAAAACTTCTTGTACCACCCGGATTAGAAAAAATTAAAAACAATTTTAAAAAAATATTTTTAAATGTTTTTTGTGTAAATAAATTTTTAGTGATTAGGAATCTAAATAATTACTTTGCAATGTTGTTCAATGAAATATTTATTGCTCCTATTATTTTGGATATTGCAATATCGCCCACTAGAAGATAACATATCATTTATTGCATTGGGGCTTTTAACTTATATACGACGGAGGATAAGAATTTAGGTACAAAGTATTGAAGAAAAAATTGAATATAATTGGGTAGATTTATTTTAAATACTATTGAAATATAGGGAAAATGTGCTCAACATTATTTTTTATACTGAAAGTCCATTCTTTTGCTTTTGTCCGAACTAAAATTTTCAATTAGGTACTTTTTCATTAAAGTTTAGTTATTTCTTGCACCATTGAATTTTCAATAGCAAGTGCTGCTAGTCTGTTTTTACAATTTAATTTAAACTTTTACAACCTTTTAAAAGTCAGTGGCTAGCCGCCACTGGTTTATTTTTCTTTGTATATATGTCAGCGTGTGTTGAATCCACCTCTGCTTTTTATAGCATGTACGGTTTAATGTGGGCCTTATTGATTAAACAAAATTTGTTGTCTTGATAATGTTATCTTTTTATTTACTATTGTTTGTAAAGAACTGATGACATTATCAGTATAGTGTATGAACCATAAATAATTATTTTTAATTATTGCAGGTACACAGGTTTTGGAAGGCACTTGTGAGTAAAGAAGTTGATGCCAAGGGAATATCATGGTAAGGACGGTAACATTTCTGTTATTTTTATGTATAAATTTTCAGAATATTGTTACGAGAGAACTTTTGCATTCTACATTTAAATTAATATAAGTCTAATGTAAAGGTCATAATTGATTTTTTTAAATTATTTGAAATTAACAGTTTATCATAAAATATTAAATTTGAAAATTGAGAACAATTTTTGATACTTTTTCTGCCAACTATTTTGTCGTCGAATGATCAGACATCAACATATCTATGAAAGGTAACAAACAATAGATAACCATTTAGATGATGTAAGTACATATTCTTTGTACTAAAAAAGAATAACTACATACTGATTCATATTGCTATCTGGAAATAATACAGAGACTTCTTAAATGATTACAAGCCACATAATTGTCGAGCATAAGTAACTGTTAGTTCAACCCTTCTACTGAGGTTTATGGATTTTCAGTTGATATTACCAACCATGAATTGTTAATTCATGGTTAATTATCATTAACAATTAACAATTCATGGTTGGTAATACCAACTGAAAATCTCTAAACCTCAGTGGAGTGGTTGAAGGGGTTACATGTAATTAAATAAAATTGTTCATGAAATTTATTATAGTGAACTGTTGATATTAAACTTTATACTTATAATTCACCATTTGGTACTTACGAAACATACCTACTTTTGTTTTTTCGTTGAAATGCTTTTAATTTTCTTAAAAGGAGAAAACTATCAAACTTCACTTGTTAATGAACAAATTACAAATTTTTACCATGAAAACAAAAAGGACAGTTAAGTTTAAGTACAGAGTAAAATAGAGACAGTTTGCATTTTATTATAGATAAAATAGCATTACGAAAAAGTTACATTATTTTATATTGCTGTTTGCTGCAATATAAATGGATACTATAGAATAACTTGAAGTTTACAAATTATAACAAAATTTTGTATTACAAATATAAAAAGGTTAAATATATATATCTACCTATAATTTAAAAAGTACATACCTTGGTTGCTAAATATTTATCATCAGGTGCTTTATTCAGGAATTCGTCAAATTCTTTTTTAGACAAAACTTTCGACTTTTTTGGTTTATAATTTTCACCTTGTCGTTTCAAAAATGTAATTAATTTTGAATATTTCTCAATATTTACATTGTGTTCTATGTTTAATTTAGATTTTACCATTGAATATTGCGCCCATAAAGTTGAACTTTTCAGTGTTCTGGATAATCTTGTAAAATATGCTATCATCACATTTTCTGAATAAATATGTGCATTATTTTCTTTTGCCCAATTTATGAATTTATCATAAGCATTTTCATAAATTTTTCTCAACTTTGTTGGTATAAGTTGATGTATTTGCAATTTCCAGTAATTCTGGAGGTGTGCACTGCATTTCTTCAGACAGTTTAAAAACGACCCGTCGTGACATCAAATTTCAACTGACACTTAATGAAACGTCAAAGCTTCTTGAATCTTTAATTCGTTGCTAGGATACTTACCTACACATTGTTACATTTTTTTACTAGTTAAAAAATGAAAAATATTTGTACTAGTTAAACAATAGGCTGCTTCTAAAGGAGGTGTTGCACTATATAATATAAGTATTATTATACGCTTGAAGAAAAAACATATTTATATATTTCATATTGCATACACAGAGACTTCATAAATAATGACAAGTCAAGTGACCAGTAATTTTGTACGAAACAGTAATTTTATTTCCTTCACATTGACAATTAAATTTTGGTAAAATTAAAAATTACTAAAACAATAAGATCAAGATTACGTTAAAATATGTTATAATGTTTGTATGTATAAATATACAGGGTGTTTCATTTCCATTGTGCTAAATGAACACAGATGATAAAGTAATTTTAAGCAAAAAAGTTAATATCGACATGTGTCCAAAAAGGCCACATGTCCCCTTTAAAGGGGACCATTAAGACAATTTTATTACAATATCTCGAAAATGCTTCGAAATAAATTGATAAAATTTTATACAGAGGTACAATTTATTACGAGGAATTACTTTATCTAAACCAAATTGACACATTGTTTTCAGGGGTGTCTCTACGGGGGAAGGTTCAAAATCTAACTTTTTTTATTTATCAAATTCGTAATCCTTTTTTCGAAACTCGATATCCTTGGCCATTTCTATATAAAAAGATATATATGTTTCATATAGGGAAAATAGAGTTCTAGGTTCTTTATAGATAAAGTAGTTCTTCATAATAAATGGTACCTTTATATAAAATTTTATCAATTTATTTCGAAGCATTTTCGAGCTATTGTGTTAAAATAATGGCCCCTTTAAAGGAGTGTAGCGCCACAGGGGGGCGTTCTCGGACACTTGCGAACTTTTTTGCTCAAAATTAATTTATTAATTTATATTTGTGACACAACATGTACTTTTTGTATATAAAATTGTCAATAAACAATTACAATTACTTTCTCTATCATCTGTGTTTGTTTGGCACACCGGAAATGAAATACCCTGTATATAAAAAGTAGTGTATACATACAAACTAATCCATCTGTTCGTGTTAAAAAAGGAATATAAAAATTAAGGTGCATATACAGTGCCCATTTCAAATGGAAACAGGCCTAGAAAAATGGTATTTATTATCCAATTTATTTAGAAATTTTTCTAAAAGATGGAGCAGTAAAAACTCTGTTCTGGCACAAAATATTAAAATTTGATTTCTATGTCAAGGCCTACTTAAAATTTTTTTCACTGTCAAATTTTACAAAAACTGTTTAGCGATCTTTTTATTTTAAATCTAACTATGGCATTGAATTCAGCATCCCTTAAAGCGGTTTTATTCCAAATTTCGTAAATAAATACTTAATAATGAGGGATTTATAACAATTTTAATGTATGGCTTCATTTTATTAAATACTCTGTTATAGTAATTTTCTGAAAAAAAATGTTGGTTATGAAAAATTATTTAAAAAAATGATAAATTAATTTTATGCTTTTAATAACAGTAATACAATAAATTTAACATCACAATACAATATCATTAAAAATTTTTTAGTCTCTACAAGGCCACCGTTAATTTCGATGCACTTTTCGAATCCCTTACGAAATTACAAACTTGCATGATTCTTGCGTTAAGTCCGGGGACCTGAGTGACCATCTAATTAAGGGACTATTTCTACCTATCCATTAGTTAGGAAAGTTAACATGAAGCCATTTGGTAACCCCTCTTGCATTGTGGCTAGGACATCCATCTAACTGAAAATAAAAACTTACTCTTTCTTGTACTGGAAGTTCATGTAATATATTCCAAAATTTATTTCTTAGGAATTGCAAAAACTGTACGCTATTCATATTATCCCCAAAAACAAAGGGCTAATGATCATTTTATTGAGTATCCCACACCAAACATTAACTTTTTGAGAATATTGTCATTTACAATTAATAACCCACTCTGGTTTTTCTGTAGCCCAGTACCTAGAATTTTGTGACTATACGACTCCATTAGTTGTAAAAGTTGCCTCATCTGAATATAATAGTTTTTAAAAGATTTCTATTTTTGAGGTACTCCCATAAGCAAAATTCCATCATTTCATCATCACCAGGTTCCAAGGTGTGTAAAAACTTATAGCACTCTTATCAGTTTTCTATCCTTGGTGTACGACAAGTTAAATAGATTCGTTAAATCAAATAATGCCTCGCAACAATTACATGTAAAAAATATTTGTGAACAATTTTAAAAGTGCATCGACATAAATAGAGAAATTAAAATAAATTATACAGGGTGTGGCGTCTTTAGTGCAGAAAAAATAAATTGCAGATTCCTAGGAATATATGCAATAAAAAAGCCTTATATAAGAAATTCGATTAACATCAGCGCACGCTTGCCGAACCGAACTTATCAGAGAGTCGAGCCTTTGCGCAAATCAGTGTTGCCAAATTAAAATGTATGAAATACACACAAAAGAGATAAAATGTTTTAATGCAATAATAAATAATTTTGGCCAGTTTAATACAATCCTCTCGTTTTAATTAAAAGGAAAAATAAACATAAAATTCAATTAGTTATTTCACTGTAAATGATAATGTGCAATCCCAGACAAGAGGTTTGTAGAAACAAAGTACATGGTGTTAGAGAAAAGACTACTATTATTTTAGCAAGTGATAGGTTGGATCACGACAAACAAAAAAGATGCAAACTTACCGTTATTATAGAAAATGTTGAAAATGATCCCCATTAGCGCGGATGCACGCGGCGCACCCAATTTCGGCGAACATTTTCACAAATCCTAGGAGTGGCCCGTATTGTGTCAGCCGTTACAAGAATACGATTCCGTAATTCCTGCTCCGTATTGATTGGTTCACTGTACACTAAAGATTTCATGTGGCCCCAAAAATAAAAGTTCATAGGGGTAAAATCTGGTCCTTGAGGTGGCCATCCTATAGGACCGAATCGTCCTATCCATCGCTGAGGAAACTTTCGATCCAGGATGGTTCTAACCACTTGCGTGCTGTGTGGAGGAGCTCCATCCTGAAGATACCATATACGTGCCCGTATGTGGAGTGGTACATACTCCAAAAGTTGAGGCAATTGGTTTTCCAAAAAGTTGACATACACTGCTCCTGTTAAGCGGCCTTTGAAGAAATAAGAACCCACGAGAACATCACCGATTATGCCTGCCCAGACGTTTACGGAAAAGTGGTGCTGAAAATGAATTTCTCGAATACTATGAGGATTTTCATCAGCCCAAATGTGCGTGTTATGAAAGTTTACAACTCTATCACGAGTAAATGTTGCTTTATCTGTCGCACACACGATTGCAGGAAAATCTACTTCGCGTGTACGAACGCATTCGTTGCGGACCATCCGCTGCTAAATCTGCTGTACAGGTTGCAGATGACACGGATATAACATTTGACGGCGTAAAATGCGATGTACAGTATGGGGCGAGGTTCCTATTTATTCTGCAATGCGACAAACACTGTTTCCGGGTTGTACCTCAACAGTAGCTAATACGGCGTCCTCAATGGCATGGTTAACCGGCAGGCCACGTCCATCTGCACGAAGGTTAACACTACCTGTATCTCGCAATCGTTGAACACAACGTAAAATAGTGTTTGCATGAGGATGGCGACGTTGTGGCCATCGCTCCCGGTATAATCAACTTGCCCTGAGGGCATTTTCCCCTGCCGCGCTATACACTATCACCATGTCGGCACGTTCGATAGTAGTAAACGTATTATTGTTGTTCTCGTTATCCATTGCCAATTTAGTTAATAACAATAACTTAAAAAATAAAAAAATAAGAAACGTCTTTAATAAACACTTAACGTCTAAACAGCAGAAGCGCGATCTTTTTGACACAACTTAGCAGCAATTCGCCTGCAAGTTAAAAGCGTACTGACACTGACTGACACTCCACAGGTGCCGTGCGGAGTGCGGACTAAGTCAGTGTTTTTTGCGCAATGTTAAACAGGACCGGCATTAACATTTTGTCACTTCTTGTAATTTTTTGGAAAATATTTTTGACTCAATTCTCATAATCGCCTTATGGTAGCATATATTATTTTACTTCATTTATTGTCAAGAGTCTAGGTTTTTAATTTTCTGCATTAATGGCGCCACACCCTGTATTGTCATGTTTTAATTTTAATGTAATGCTTTTATTTTGCATTATTCCATTAATTATAAATTTTTACGTTTAATGTGATTAATTAAACGCATAAAATTAATTTCTCATTTTTTAAAATAATTTTTCATAACCAACATTTTTTTAGAAAATTGCTATAACATCTATATTTAATAAGCGTACTACATTAAAATTGTTATACATCCCCATTATTGAATATTTATTTACGAAATTTGGCATAAAACCAGTTTAGCGGATGCTGAATCCAGTGCCGTAGTTAGATTTGAAATAAAAGAAATCGCTAAACAGTTTTTATTGCTCCATCTTTTAGAAAAAAACGGAAATAAATCGGATAATAAATATCATTTTTCTAGGGCTGCTTTATTTGAAATGGGTAAACTGTATAAAAATATATACTTACTCTTTCTTGTNNNATATATATATATATAATAATTATATCATTTATTATACAAATTTCTATTTTTGCTTCAAGGAGAATCTAGCACATTATTTTTTAAATATATTTCACAATACATTTTTATATTTTTAAATATTTATAATAGTACACAATCGTGAGAAATAGCATTAAAGTGTTAGGTCTGCGATAAGCAAAAAAAAGCAATTTAGTGTTTTCAACTTATTTACATTTTTGCACTTGGTGCACACTGATATATCTTCATCCTATACCATCAACTTAAATAATAAAAGATGGAAATAGCCTCAGTCCCCATTGAATGCAAAAGTGAAAATAAATTGGGAATGCTGTTAGATTGGAATAGAATGTCTAGCTGCTTCATGTTTCAAACGTCTCGCAATTAAAAAATACTTCTTGGCTCAACCTCTTTGAGAGTTGCTATTTATGTTTAGTTATTAGTACTGAGGTACTAATCTACAGGTTCGTAAAGTCCCCATGGTACATCGGCCGTTACGTGAAAGCGATAAAGTAAGTCATAGAAATCCGTGCGATAGACAAGGATGGTTACATTGAAGACGTTTCATAATCTGAATAGTCAGTCCCACTTCTAACCCGGAACGGGCGGTGACTATTCAGATTATGAAACGTCTTCACTATAGTCATCCTTGTCTATCGCACAGATTTCTTTACTTTACTTTGTTGCTCTCATGTAAAGGCAGATGGACCATGTGGATTTTCCAGCTCTGTATAGTGTTTTGGTATCTGTGAATCTGACACTGCAAAAATATCTTTAGGTGTAATTACTCTTATATAAGTAGACATATTTAATTGTCTAAACTACTAATTTTACTTGAGTTTATTAATTGGTTCAGTTAGTTGGTGTTAACTTGTTAGTTGGAAAATATTATGATTTCACATTTTTCAATTTTCCTTTCAAACCAATGGTCACAAGTCAAAATCCATTATGTATCAGACAATATTTTATTTTAGTGTAAATACAACTCTAGATGGAAATTCATTTAAGATTTCTGTTGAGGAAGCTTTAGAAGTAATAAATAAAACACCAGAATTTGGACCTCCTAACCCAGTGGAGCCTATTGGTATGTACAATGTGTTTTAAATTGTTCATCTGGAAAATTATAAGATATAGAGCAGAAATGGGGAAACTTTTAGGCTTTTCTAATAATTCATAAACCAACTGTAATAGTTGTTTCACATTGTGAATTTCTTCATGAATTAATTGAAAATGTAACTTAATACATGTACTGCTTCCATGTCAATTTTGACTATATCTATTGTGTAGTCGGTAAAGAAACCAAAATGTCAGAAGAAATACATGACACGTAGGTATATATTGTCCGTAATCAGAATTTGAAAAAAAAAAAAATATATAGTCTTCCATTTCAAAAAATACAAAAAGTAATGAGATAATTAAGAAGATTTCATAAAGGTTATTCAATATCAATTCAAAATATAATTTGCCTGCAAAATTTTCATATCTATTTCTTCAACGATTGATGCAACCACTTTTAGAATTGAAAGTATTATTTTTCAATCAACAGTTATTTGAAATATATAAAATAACTAATAATGGCATTCTAAAATGTTGAAATTAGTTGTAATGTTGTGGTTTTATACATGCTGTGGGATATAAAAATTATACTTTTCCCCTTATAAAAAAAATTTTTCTTTGGAATTTATTTAAAAATTAAATGCTTCTATCAGTAGTTGAAATAAAAATATGTATATATCTTTATGTTTTGGGATAGAGGTTCTTAATAATGGCTTTTTAAACCTGTTTGATGTTTATCAATTTTGTACTTAATAAATTATCTAAGAAATTGGTACAATTTGTTCCATTTTTAGTACCTTTTAACATGTAATAAAATGGCCAAATTGGCATTGAAAAAAAATTAAAATTGTCCAAATTGTTAGAATGTAAATAAAATTATACAACTGGATTGACATTGTCATTAAATATCATCTAAATTAGAACCTCTTCCTCTACAATTTCTTGGTCAATTTAATGAACCTAGGAAATTTCCACACTATGTATTACATGTACCAACATATCTAGTCCAATTTCTTGATCAATTCATTGGGTCTCAAACTGGTAAATGTACAACAGGGTTTCAGTAATGCATGCAACTTTTTTCAGTTGATAAAATATTCTTTGTCAACACTAACGTTTGCTGCAAATGCAGGCTCTAAGTATATTATGGTTAGTTGTAATATTCATATTAACTTTTATTTTCTAATTATAAATAATTTTATTTCAGTAGACAAATGGCACTATGTACATCTGAAGTAAATGATAGCAATGGGACTCAGGTTTTAACAGAACGTGCATTTATATTTGAATACTATTTATTGTTTTGCACTCATGATGTGTTTATTTAAATGATAATAAAAGTGGTAGCAAAAGATCCTATGTGTTTTTTGAACCTCCTACCTATCTAATTTTATGTCCAATAAATTGCTTTTTTACCAAACAAAATTACATTTTTATGTTTTTCAGACATAAATTTTTTTATATTAATAAATAATTAAGGAAATAATGAAAATAATCAACCAAAAATTATAATTGCAAAAAGAATTTAGAAATTAAAAAAAAATAGGTTTGATCCCTAAATAATTATCGCAAGTAATTAATGTTGCTTAATAAATAATAACTCAAATTTTTGGAATTTTCATAACATCTGTTACTTATTTTTTCTTTAATTTTTGGCTATTTTGCCACCTGTTAAAAAATTAGTAAAATAAACCCTTGCTCCCAATGGATCAGTCGAGGGTTATTTTTAAGAAAATAGTTTTGCCTGACCAAAAAATCTCACTGAAAAAAAGCAGACAAATACAAAAACACATCATTTAATATCGCGCACATTAAAAAATTCCTTAATGTTTAAAAAATCCACTGTTTTTTACAAACTTTTAAATTTTTTCACGGGTAGCAAAATACCCAAAAAATGAAGAAATGGAAAACTATGTCACAAATAAATAACTTGAGACAATATCTTCACTTAATTAAACTTGAGTTTTACTTTTTACTTTGCTCTCTTTAAGATCATTACTGTTTTTCTGTAAAATTAAAGAAAATGAGAGATCAGACTGCATTGCAGTATTGTAAATTTAGTTTTCAATTTATATTCAATAGGGTTATTTCCATAAGTCAGAATTTGGTTCAAATAAGTTGTATATAAATAGTATGTATACAGGGTGTTTCTAAAATAGAGTTCCAAACTTCTGCTGCGTTTATAACTCATTAAAATAAGCCAAAAAGTTCCTATTAACATGTGCCCTAAAACGCACCCTTAGGAAGTTATATGCCCTTAAAAGGGCTTGAACAAAACTGTTTTTTTTTATACTTAAATTTTCCACTCACCACTTTTACTAATTAAACACTGCAAAGCTCAATTGACAGTTTATCAATAACTTAAATTGTTAAGCGTTGTGGCAACATCAGTCTTTTATTTGCCATGGTAAACAGATTTTTGTAATTTTTAGCCTAATAACTTAAAGAGCAGAGTAATTTTCAAATTCAATTTACTCGAAAACCATTGGAAATATCGATTTGGACAAAGATAATATTTTTTACGTAAAATTGTTAAGATTTTATAAATCTGTAGAGAAAATTGTAAAAAAATTGAAATAAAAAAAATTACTGGCCGAAAACCCCGTTCACCAACCTAAATGGGACGCATATGATTTGCATGTCAAAAAACGGAGTAGCCCATGTTATTTAACATAAAAAGTTATGTAAGACCCATACATTTTTTTCTATTTATTTGCGGCCGTTTTGTCAATAACAGAAAAAACCAATTTTGTTTGAGCCCTTTTAAGGGCATATAACTTCCTAAGGGTGCATTTTAGGGAACATGTTAATAGGAACTTTGTGGCTTATTTTAATGAGTTATAAACGTAGCAGAAGTTTGGAACCCTATTTTAGAAACACCCTGTATAAAACATAGATATCACATTAACTGGTATTATACAGGGTGTTCCTAAATAAGTGTCGCAACGGAAAACTGTAAATTACTCTTGAAAAGAGAAACATTTTTTTTCCTCTTCTATTTTTCTCTTCGGGCCTTCGTTTTCGAGATACACGGTGTCAAAACTTTTTTTCAGATTTTTGCCAATATCTTAGGAACCGTTTGAACTACAAGACTGAGCTTTTGTACATACATTACCACTATTAATAGCTACTTGCTGCAAATGTTGTTAAATTTCGTTAAAATTGTTAATTATATTACTACCTATCTTTTGAATCACAAAAGATTTTCGAAACGTTAGCAAAATGTTTGTTTTTGTTCATAAAAAGTAATTTTTCTTAAAAACGGTTGACTTTAGAGCAATGAACCAAAAGAACTCTTTTTGTGTAAAATTCATTGGCGCTTCAGAATTTGCTGTCACATGTTAATTTTTCCAGTGGCGTAAAAGTTACAGAAGAAAAACCCTTTCAATACCTTAAAATCTCCACCACTGGCACGTTCAATGAATTCGAGAAGGGTGCGAAAAAGTAGCTATTAATAGTGGTAATGCGTGTACAAAAACTCAATCCTATAGTTCAAACGGTTCCTAAAATATTGGCAAAAAATTTTTAAATAATGAAAGTTTTGACACCGTGTATCTCGAGAATGAAAACCCGGAGAGAAAAATGGAAGAGGGAAAGAATGTTTCTTTTTTCAAGAGGAATATACGGTTTTCCGTTGCAACACTTATTTAGGTACACCCTGTATATACTGTTTTACGAAATTGTATGCCTTTTAAAATGGTCAAAAACTTAATATCGATACTAAAATATCAGTTGGTAAAGATATTCAACTTCTTTTTACATTAATGTTCCTTGAACAAAAGCAAAAATCTAGAAAAGAGTTTAGAGAAATTAAAAGAACAGAAATGAAAAGAAAATGCCCAAATCATCACAACCCATTTGCGAGGGTACTACTGAATCTGTTAGTTATTTTTGTGTGGTCTATCTTAGTTTTTGAGAAAAAAAAAATTTCAAAGTTCTAATCTGGATATTTCACAGAACACTGTATACTTTATGTAACTTTCAGAACATTCAATCTGCCATTTGCAAATCGTAATGTCATTAAAAAAGAAATCGCGCGGGCGTTGACTTTAACAATACTACTTTGTTACGTCATCATCGAGTTATGCAACTCATAATACACCACGCAAATTATGTTTTCTCGGAAATTTTACGGCTTTAATTTGGAGATTAAATTATGTCCAAAATAGATGAAAAATAATAAAAAAATATATATGGTGTTATCATAACTGAGCTCTAGAAGCATTCTACAGGGTGTATTTAAATGGAGGGGCACAAATGATATCAGAGATTCCTTGGGTGAAAATAAGTCGATTTAACCTAACATACCTATATCCCAAGTCGCATAATAAAAAAGATAGAGGGTGTCAAAATGAAAAATAAAAAATGGTTTTTCCTTAATAATTTCTTTAATTTTAGTCAGAAATGTTTCAAATTTTCAACACAGAGGCTTTTTAATGATGGGAAAAATAATATAATAATGATTTTTGAGTGTCGAGTGCGAGGCGCCCTCTGCAGGCAATGTTATGCATTGAATATGTAGTAACTTTTTTGCCAACCCCCGTATACAGCTTTCAGTAACAAAATAGGAAATATTGGACTTTTTTGAACAAAAAAGGTATACTTATTGAAAATGTCTAAAGCCAACTGTTGAGGAGATATTTTTAATTTCATAAATTAGTGTTAAGGATTTATACCTCCACGAATACCAAGGCACAAACAGATACTTTTGTTAATACAGAACGCATTGCCTTGCAGTACTTATTAGTTGTGTATCTGTAGTTAAAACCAAAAGAGGGCTCAGGAATCAACTGAGACAACATTATTTTTACTGTTTTAAATTTACTTTACTTTTCTTTGAGTATTATTTTAGCATGTGTGAAGACACTTGTTGCATAATTTCTATTTAATTGGTTTTTCGGTGTATTTATTAAAAAACACATTTTCTTGTGCATGTGAAATTATTTAAACGCTGCATTGAAGAAATCTCATATGAAATAACAGTTCAGGTAAAAAAATATTGCAAAATACTTATTTATTGTTCTTTAATAATAATTATTAAAAAAAAGAGCAAAACAATTAAAACCAAGAGTCACTTAACAACAGTCAATAGATAATTTAAGAGAAACAATTGGCTGACAATAAAAGAAAACAAGATTTTTTAATGGATATATGAAGTAATTTCCATTTTCCTGCAACATATCGACATACCTACTCGTCATAAGTATTATTTTATATTAAATAGTTTTGGAATTGATTCCAAAACTATTTAATATCTAGGACGTGACTAAAATCAATTAACACTTTAAACTAACACTTCAAAATTGTAATTTACGAGTATTATCAAATGACATTTACCTACTCGATTTTTTTATTTATTTAAGCAACTCGAACCTTGGAATTCGTGGAGGTATAAATCCGTAACACTAATTTATGAAATTAAAAATATCTCCTTAACGGTTGGCTTTAGCCATTTTCAATAAGTATAACTTTATTGTTCAAAAAAGTCCAGTATTTCGTATTTTGTTACTGAAAGCTGTATACGGGGGTTGGCAAAAAAGTTACTACATATTCAATGCATAACGTTGCCTGCAGAGGGCGCCTCGTACTCGACACTCAAAAATCATTATTATATTATTTTTCCCATCATTAAAAAAACTCTCTGTTGAAAATTTGAAACATTTCTGACTAAAATTATAGAAATTATTAAGGAAAAACCATTTTTTATTTTTCACTTTGACACCCTGTATCTTTTTTATTATACGACTTGGGATATAGGTATATTAGGTTAAATGAACTTATTTTCACCCAAGGAATCTCTGGTATTATTTGTGCCCCTCCATTTAAATACACCCTGTATATCATTTTTGAAAAAAGTGATAAAACCCTATTCAAGGAATAAGGGCAAAAAGCAAAATAAGCATAAGTTTATATAAACCTTAACCAAAATATGCGTGTCTCTTCCAAAATACCAGTAGGTCTACAAATTTTTATTAATGCTTCAAGAATCCATAATGATAGGTTCTAAAATTGCTTAAAGTAATACACTTACGTAATACCCTTGTATATATAATTAAAGTTAATACATGTAAAACTCACTAATAACAACTCACCACAAAAAAATTGGGTTGTGTCAAAGTACTTTGATCGGCTGAATCTGAATCTATAGTTAGAATTACCGGATCAGTTTGTGTTTTGATCCAAACACTAAGACACTAAAAAGCGATATTCGAGATATCAAACCGACTTGAGTAGTCAGTAATTGTAAAAAAAATTGAATTCATGATCTCATTGTGTACCATAATGCCACATCACAACCCGGGATGTGCGAGAGTGAAAATCAAATTCTGTGGAAACATGGATAATGAGATCCTG